ATTATGATCTTGTGTGCTAGATTCCTCAGAGATCAATAGCTATTGAAATTTCTTTCTCGCAGGTTCCTGTCTATTTTTTGACGTCAAGTTTGTAAAATATTCTTGTGACTTAAGGGTAAGTATAAATCTAGATTTATTATCCATAAATTATTAGGTTTTCATAATGTAATTCAGAATCTAATAAAAAGTGTTTTAATTTTTAATACAATATGTGAATATCAGTACCTATATTTATCTACGAAAGTTTCATCCTTTCAACCTTAAGTACTACGATTATAATGACTTATCTCAAAACATTCAAACGAATGAAAACGAACAATTCAAATTTCTAGAATTCTTGTTGAAGTTAATACGTAGTCCTTGTTGAATGTGGCGTCGCCGACGCTGTAAACTGTTCTAAAAGTATTCTCATCTGTATGAAATTTCGTTCATACTTAATTTCTTTCATTTCTAGCATTTTTCAAATATATTTCTACAGTTATGACAACGAATAGTTTGTGGCTGATAATGTTATACACCTGTTCAAAAATTCTCGACACTCAATGGCCTCTGTGCTATTGCTCAATGGCCTTATATGATGGAGATGAACAGGTAATATTGCAATTTCAAAATTATAAATGTCGTAAAAGGTTAATGGGGGTATTGATGATGCGAATACTTAGAGTTAAGTACAGCTATATTTTTGACGATTGTTTGCTAATATGCTCAAAATGCTCATAAAAGATCACCTCTACGCTGTTCTTTTTCCGTGATTCTCTAACCCTTATACTCATTTCCAATTAGTTAGATCATTTAGATCATTAGATCATTTTCAATTAGTTTCTGGCGAAAAACATCTACAACTACAATTGATTTTTTCAGGAAAAGAGGTATTGTAAAATATTCCTCTTTTAAACCTCTGTTAAATAGCAATTGTATAGTGACAGACAATCTATTTCAATATTTAAAACCATCAATTCAGAACTAATGAAAACTGAAAGCACATTAGCAAATTTTGCATTAAATAAGAAATATATTAAATAAGTGTTTTCAGAATTATTGAAAATATTCACAGTACAGACTGTTCATCTTCAAATTAAGTAAAACAGAAATAGAAATAATGTATAATAATATTTAGTCATTCTCCGCCTTTCCATTTTATCGTTTTTTGTTTTGTGATCTCATTAAAAAAATCCGTCTAAAAGTAAAACCAGTCGTGCGTTTTAGTCAGTTTTTCATAAAACTATTTTAACTGCAACTATGCTCAAATTTTTAATGTGTTCCTAGTATGATTCCAAGAAAACCCTAAAATAACTTCTAGCGTCGAGTTAAAATATTCTTTTATTATTCACCACTATTACTACTATTTACTCCACGTTTTCTTTCAAATAACATAAAATGAAAAATTTGAATCAACATGAAGGGAATGTGATGTTTTACTTTATGGTACATTATGTGGTATGTTGAAAATGTAGTGTTATTTGTTCCAAGAAGGTTGGTTTCAAATAAAAAGAAGTCAACGACGCACCGGTGTATCAATTTTTTGACTGATTGATAGTGATTCTGGAAGATAGAAGCGTCAGGAAGATAATGGAAGGAAAGATCACTCGGGTTCCGTGGCCTGTTTAGTTGTGTACTTGCTCCTGCATTCGCCTGGTGTTGATCGGATAAACCACGGAAAACTACCGATCAGAGCAGCCAAACGCTAGAATTCTCCTCCAGACAGTGACTGAATCAGAGCAACTAGCTGCAAGAACTATCCTCCAGTCAGCGACTGAATTCGACCTAGTTGTGTAGTCGTGTGTTGAAAATCCTGCCACCTTCGAACCTAGGACCTCCCGTTCAGAGGTACTGTTTGACATCAGTTGACGCTTTGAGCCAACTCTCTCGGTCCGGTATATCGAAACACCAGTATATTTTATAAAGTCTTTTGCTTGCACTGACTTTGTCATTTTAATACACTGTAATTTCGATGTAGATTTTACTTTACAGTATTTTCAGTTGTGATCCGTGTGAAGAAGTTACTTACTTGTAGTTACAACAATCATTAATCAAGGATCAATAAATGTTGCAATTACGAACCCTCTTTTATCTGTAGTGTTGTCACGCAAAGGGAAATCTGATAGTTTCTATTTAACAGCTCTCATTTCAAATCCTGCTATTTTTTTATGAAGGAAGTACGCACGTGATCTGAAATATTGTTATCTCGAAAATCATGTGCTAATGTCTTAAACGTAACTTCTTATATTTTTAAAACACACTCGGCGATTTGATATTCCTGAGGCACTTACGGATTGCAGTGTTTCTGTATGTTAGCGGGTCATAATCTAATAACAGATCACCTCTAGTAGCTTACATATAGTTTGAAAGCGCACGTTGTTTGCTGTAAATGATGCAATTTCTGATAAAAAACACGTCTGCTCTGAAATGGTTTTGAATTTTGAGGATCAGTTTGTATCAACTGAAATAGGAAAAAAAGACGTTAGTGGAAAGTGTCCCTGCTTTGGACATTAGACAGTATTTCGGGTTTACTTCGTGTAGAAGAGAAACTGGGCAGATATACGATGACACCAGGGCGGGTTCATCTACTGGAAACTTACACCACTGTCGAAACATCGATCTAACGAATACATTTGATACATGATAATGACTAAATAATATGATGACATATACATTTAAATATGATAAAACAAATACATATTATATATAATATGTAATTTTAATTATTGAACGTTTTTTATGAATGGTCACAAGTGTAATTGCTGGGTATTCCGTTAATGTACACTCAATGTATCTTTGTATTTAAAACCACTCTTGGAATTCAAAAAGCTCGCTCTTGTCATTTCTATTACTATAACACCAATCTCACATTTATTAGACCACGTAAAAGGCGAAATGTCGATTGCATTCAATTTATTGGTTGCTACTACGATAATTAAACAGATCACGGCAGATAAATGTTCATTCCATTAATTTTAATACGGAGTTAATATTTATTGTTTTTACTATAAAAATATGTTAAGAAGAGCTATTGGTACAGCTTCTAGTGCATACTACCTTTCATTTAATGAAAGAAAACAATATATTTCGTTTACATAATTACACGTTTCCGGGTTTGCAGGCCGTGGTTCAACAGAGACTGGTCCATACGTTTCGCCTGCAACTATGGCAGGCATCAGTCAACGCGGCGCTGCCAAGAAGGACCCTTCGCCCCCGCCAGCAACTCCACTGAAGATGCCTGCCACAGTTGCAGGCGAAACGTATGGACCAGTCTGTTGGTTCACGACCTACAAACCCGGAAACGTCTAGTTATGTAATCAATTAACAAACTAGAAAACAAATGACGCGGCCGCTGATTTATTTTCACTGATTTTACATTGCTCTCTGTGCTACTAAGAACACTCTACTACTCTAAGTGCCATCTGAAATTGTGAACATACACTAGTGCTCAATTTCTTTCAAGCGATCAATCTGATCTCATAATATATTTTTTTAGAAAACAAACTAAAATATATCTTTTAGAAAACATAACTTCTGCCCCATTCTTCGTATATGTAGAATAATTGAAAAGTAAATGTACAATTTGAAAAAAAATACAAATAAATGGTAATATTTAAAACCAATCTACAATCTATTACCAAAGAACTTCTAACCTATAAAAAAATCCTAAATCGGCGTTTGAGTAAAAATCCGCTCGAACAAAATAGAAACTTGGTCGTTTTTATGTATATTTTGTCTTATGTTTTAATATATGTTAAGTAAAATAATTTTTCGGATCCCTGTGATTCACAAAAAATTAAAAACTCATTAAAAACTCAATGGATTCTGTGGTGCCATTAGGGCAGCTGGTGTATTCTTGGCTATCCGGGATGAGCAGCGTCTCAGTTAATTGAACTGACTTTTCGGCCATCTTGCTGTGGCCTTCTTCAGAGCTATATAGCTCTAAAGCTTGTATAGTTTGAGCTGAGAAGCGTTTACGTGAATATTAACAGCCTAATCACAGAAACCTAATCAGAAGAATGGAATTGTCAACTTGCTTTTAAGCAAGTTACGCTATTTAAAGTGAATCGATTTTGTATAGAGATTACGAGCACAAAATTAGAACACAACTAGAAAATAGACACGGAAATCTGATATTCCAATACTAATACCATTGTCTTTTTTATCTTTCATAATTTATGATCTCGTGTTCCAATTTCGCAATTAATAATTAACGAGCCACTTCTTGAATAAATATTTTATTTAACGTACATAAGATGAAAACGATTCTGCACCTAGCATTCCGACATTGTGACCCAATCAGTGGGGATATTTTTGTCATCTGCGGCGAGGTTCATTACTGGAAGCAAGGCAGTAGCGATTCAAGAAATACCTGATGAGGTTGTAATTGATTGCTGCATGAAAAAAGGATAATAAAAAGTACAAAGTTTCAAATTTTATATGCAAATAGCTACTTCCATCAGTACACCATTTCCTTTGTAATAGTCTAGTGGTAATAATGAATAATGCAAGGCAAGTATTCATCACAATCACAAATAGTGCTCTAATTTAACAACGAAGAACATGGTTCATACACGATTATGTGGAATTATTGTGTAACGGTTTCAAATTTAAATATGTTTGTTAATTATACTTCTTTGAATTTCAAGAAAGTGATTCGATAAGTTAATTCCCGCTTACGATAATTATTTTTAAAAAAATAGACGGAGAAATTTAATGATTCTAAATGCTCAATTAATTTATTATTGTATCATTGTTTATTTCTAAAGTGAACCCTCAAATAACCTACCATTCATTATAATTCACTCCTATTAACGATAAGTGATATGTAATATCCAGGTGACGCATCAAATCAAAAAATAAAAACTTTTAATCCTACCATATCTATTTAATTCTAATTAAATGAATGATTTTTTAAAAAATATTGCATCCACAGAAAGTAATAGTTTCTCACAAGAAAAAACAATTATACTGGAAGTTAGAAAGGTTTGGTAGAAATTATTAAGAAAATGGTTACTTACCTAGCCGATTGCCGCTGCGTCTTTTTACTCGAAGACATATTGTTCTGCTTCGTATGCACTGTAACACAAAAACAAAACCGTCATTATTAAATTATCAATATCTTCATTAAAAACCGTCATGTAAGTATAATTTACCCACGTGAGGAACAGCAAATAATATTATTCGCCAAAATGAATAAGTAAATAACAGGATTTCCGGTTTCTTTGTGACAAATTAAATTTATTAACAATTTAAGCGAAGGACGAGCAGATTCAAAGCATTTTTGGATTCCGAGCAGTAACGTGCGCATCATGTGCCGATGAAAATGAACAATACGCAATTTGCTAATGTTAAGGTGACAAAATGTCTTGGGTTCAGTCAATTCAGTCAAACCTCAAATAAAACATCCCCATAACTGAAACGAACACTAAATTAAGTTTATTATGTTTTACATGAATCTTTTTTCAAATTCAATCCACATTAATACAGTTCGTTGCACATACTTTGCGAAGTACATGTTCACCTTAGTGAAGGCTTAATACTCAGGAAAACATCCATTTACATTTTTAACTTGACCACGTTATACGCAATCCTACATTCATTGGGTTTGAAATATTACTTTTACCATCCTTCATTAATTATGAATCCTCGTTTCTGTTTTATTTCGACGTAAGTCACTTTGGCCACAGAAGTTTTCCTGCCAGACCGGTTGATAAAAATACATAAGTAGTACATTATGAAACGATGATGTAATGATAATTAACACGATTATATTTATGCGGTGATTAATACGCGATTCTTGTTTAGGTTGTCAGGGATAAAGTAAATCACGGTTTAGACGGCTCTAATGAATAAAAAAGAGTTTATTCTTCTAATAAATTCCTATAAATATTTTCGAAATTAATTCTGAATGTCCAGTTCCCGAGTTAACAGTCTGGAAGTATTTACTCACAGCAAAAAACTGTTATACCTGAATTTGTTATCATTGTAACTATTATTTGAGTACATTTATCACAACCGGTGATGCATCCGAGGGGATGTCTCAAGGGGGTTCAGCCTCCAGAAACCAATGAAAAAAAGGTACAGGTTTTGCTCATTTTCTATACTAACGAAAGTCATTTATATATCAACCGATTAAACTATATAAGATTAATATTAACTAAACGTCAACAAATAAATATAAATTTTATATTCAGTATAAATTAAAAATGTTTTGTGAGAAAGTCTTATCGCCTAGACACAACACCTGTAACCCTCCTATCCCGAGAACAATTTGAGTCTGCCAAAGATCACAACTACATTAATTTCTAACAACTTGCATTATAATTTAATTAAAAAGTTCATCATAAACAATAACAATATTTCCAGCTTCCAAAAACAACAACAACATCGAAACTCATAAAAAAACAACAACTCTTTCCATCCTTGTAATGAACTGGCCTGCATAGAGTTCTGACTTCAATCTTATCGATCATTTTTGGGCAATTTTGACACGCAAACTTCGTGCTACATCGATACCTCTCCTCAGTGCAGCACTCCGTAAAGAATGGGCTGCCATTTCCCAAGAAACCTTATAGCACATGCTTGAAAGTGTGTCTGCGAGAGTGGAAGCCGTCATCAAGGCTAAGGGTGGGCCAACGTCCTATTGAATTCCAGCATTGCCAATGGAGGGTGCCACGAACTGGTAAGGCATTTTCAGCCACGTGTCAGGCGAAAATAATCATAAACAATAACAACAATAACAAATATTTCCACCTTCCAAAAAAACTACAATATTGAAACTCATAAAAAACCAACAACTATCCTTAGGCAACGCAAGGGTTAATAAAATGCTTTGACGCACGAACCAAGAAAACGTAGCCGTCTTGAATTTACAGCACCGATGCTCCGACACGTAGGCGAAATTCATCATAAACAATAACAATATTTTCAGCTTCCAAAAAAACAACATTGAAACTCATAAAAAATCATCAACAATCCCCAGGCAACGCAAGGGTTAATAAAACGCTTTGCCGCACGTAACAAGTAAAGGAAGCCCTTTTGAATTTACAGCACCGATGCGGGCGAACGAACTATGCCCGTAGGAGCGAGCGGTCGTCGGTGTAATCCACAGGCGGTGGCAGCCTGGCGATTTACGTCCATCCCGGGGACAACAACCCCCGATCGCCTCTAAATACTTCCGAACACCGGACGCACTTCGCTGATCCACGGGGGCCCCACCCTGCCAGTGACGCATAGCGCACTTTCTCCCCCTCACGCGTTCTATCTCCCACGCACACACACATGTAGCTGACTTGACGCACAATGAAAACTCACTCTCTTTCCGTCCCCTCTCTCCCTCTCTGTCTCACACATATACGCGCGCGCGCGCGCACACACACACACACACACACACACACACACACACACACACACACACTGGCACGCACACACACAGCTGATATTTCGCAAGTCCCTCTCTCGGTCTTTATCTCTCCCTCCCCTCCTGCCTCCCTCTTCCTCCCCACCTACCTTTCTCTCCTCCCCACCTACCTTTCTCTCCCTCCCCACCCGCCTTTCTCTCCCTCCCCACCTGCATTTCCTCCTCCCTACCTGCTTCTCCTTATCCCTACCTGCTTTACTCTTCCTCCATACCTGCCTCTCTTCCTTCCTATCTGCCTCTCTTCGACCCTATCTGCATCTCTCTATTTCAAACAGCCTTTCTCCACCTCTCTGTGTTTGTCCCCATCTTTCTGAATCTTCTCTCCCTCTCTCTCTCCCCCCCTCTCTCTCTCTCTCTCTCACACACACACACACACAGCCACCCAGACAAACAAACATACACAGCTGCGAGTGCAGCATCGACCTCTCAATATGCACCATCCCCAGAGGAGAGCCTCACCTGGAATAACGTGTGGTGTGATTCGGCATTCTACCGAGCCTCCGGTTCAGTATATTGCAGTGACGATTATAAACTAGTCCGATTAAAACTTCTAAAAACGCATTGGCAGTTGTGAGTGTGGGATGGCGGTGTTGCCACGCACCCGCGCGACAGGCACAAGGTTATGCCTTCTCAACTAAATTGTCATTGCATTGCGAACGGAAGGTCTACGGTTCGAGATCGACTCTTTAACAGAACTACGCGGGGCTCAATCGCTGTTTGGAGGACAATTCCATCGGCCCTCATCGGTAGTTTTCAGTTGTTTCTCTGATCCTCACCAGGCGAATGCTGGAGCAGTAGACTAACAAACGGGCCACGGACCGTGCCTGATCGTTTCTTTTCAACCTGGGCCCCTCCTCTCAACTTACACACGCACGCACGCACGCACACACACACACACTGCCGTGCAATACACTACCACAGATGGCAGGAGCCACAGTGCAACAAATTTGAACTTAGTGTCTTACCGCGAGATGAAAGTTCGTGTGTTTCACTAAATCAAATACGCTGATTGCGAAAATAAAATCAGAATTATTCCATCTCCTACCAATTTTTCTGGAAAAGGATCCACATATACCACTTTCGAGAAGCTTGGAAATGATTGAAAGCTTGGCAAAGAAGGGACGAGCAACAAGTGAGAAGTGCGGTGACTTGAAGGGAGAGGGGCGCGGACGGACGAGGGAGAGCCCAAATGAAGAGTAAATGGGGATATGTGGGCGTAGCTGAAGGCGAGTAAGTACGTAAGTACGACGGCGGTGACGGATATGAGTGCAGAATAGTTGTGACGGGTCGGAGAATGGCGGTGAGGGGATGGGATGGGAAGGGGAGGGGACAGGAGGGGGATGGGAAGGGGAGGGGAGAGGAGGGTAGGGCTTTCGTCGAGAGCAGGGTGGGTTGATTGATTGGTGATTCTATGCACGTCAACTACCAAGATTCTTAGTCCCGTAAGTGTAGTATGTGTTATTATGGGGTGCTTTCGTCGACAGCAGGGGTGGGTTGATTGAGTTATTAGTGGTTCTATGCGCGTCAACTATCAAGGTCAATAGTTCCGTAAGCCTAGTGTGTGTTATTTCCTCGGAAGGCGGCGATGATATTCCATCGTTGGATGGTGAGATCCGGGGCCAAACTACTGTGACTATCAGTTTTTTCCTAACCAGGTATCTCCCACCAGTGGGACAAGCTCTAAGCCCCCGGCCAGTCTCTCGGTAAGTGTTGTAGAGTAGTGCATGTTAGTGTAAGTGTATGTGTGTAAGGGGTGAGTATAGGGACAAGGGAAAGGAAAAAAGATAGCGCGCGGTCCGTGGTCCGTTTATTAATATACCACTCCGGGTTTCGGCGGGTACAGATCGGAGAAACCACGGAAAACGTGCGATAAGAGCTGCCAGCGGCTAGCATTCCCTCCCAGACGTCCGGTGAATTCGATCTAGCTCTCTAGATAGGTTCATCTTCATAGATCCGTCTGGACTCGAACCTTGGAACCTCCCGCTGGCAGCCGCTGCAGTGGCAACGATGGCTTCCACAGAGCCCTTCCGCCGAGACGGGTGCGGGCGTGGTGGGCACGGTCTTGACCTGTGTCGCCTATTCAATCACCGCCCGTGCCGGCGTTGATGGATGTTTTAACGGGCGAGGTGACGGGGTGGCCCCTGTTAGGGCACGGCCACGCGCCGCCAGGGTTAAGCACCGCCCCAAACGGGCTCCGGGGCTGGCAAAGGCCGAGGCTATTACGAGCTGCTGCTGCTGCTGCAGCCACGCACAAGTTATTTATCGCCGGGGCCTCCCTCAAGTGTCCATTCGGAGCCACGAGACGAGCTAATAGATTCAAGATCTTCCTGGGTGGTTGATTTCAAAGGATATAAAATTACTTGCATAAAAGTCAAATAACTAATAATAATAATAATAATAATAATTATTATTATTATTATTATTATAATGACAATAGCAACAAAAACAACAAAGGGGAGGAGAAGAAAAAGAAAAAGGAGGATAAGTGAGAGAGCCAATTTAACAGTGTGTCTTATTATGACATTTCAACTCTCATTTTATGTTTTCATCACCTAAAGTCTATACAATACTAAACAATAAGTAAAAATAACTAATATAAAGATATGATAATCGAAAACTTTACTAATAACGAACTACGACAAACCAATTGAAAAAA